TTGTTTTTGCTCTGGAACCCTGAAACAGAGCATCAGGTTTAAAAGGTTAAAAGAAATCAACAGCTGCTGAAGTTCAAGGAGCTGCCTTTTTAAGCAGTCGGCCTTATCAAAACACTGTTCCTAACCAATCCTGAGCTTTTCAATACTTAAAAATGAGAAAGGATTTAAGTATGAGAACCTTCTCCCTTAAAGTTAGACTTTCTTAACGTTTTATGCTAGGAATATAGAGATTCCCATAAAATAATAGTAAAACCAAATTGCCTTTAAGCTGCTTGTCCTGTCCTGGTAGTCATTTGCAGGACACCCTTCTGTTGGCTCTCGCAGATGACCAGCCATCAGACTCAGCAAGAAGACCACAGGTTGATATGAAAGCTTCATAAGCTTCAGTGCTTATAGACCCACTTGCTTTGTTTGAATCACTGGCACACCTGTGTGTGTTCAGCAAATTGAGAGGGGGAAAAAGGATCAACAAAAGCAATCCCACAAGTGGCAGAGCCACATAGGGACATTTATTTCACGAGTCTCATTGACCCAAACATGGCCAGTTGGTCCTTTAAGGCATCAAGGCAATCTGTAGCACTCCAGAAGGACACCTCTAAGTGATGCTTGGGATGGGAACACCACCCATCCAGTAGCTCTGGAGAAGAGAAGGAGCTTGCATTTTTCTGAATGCCAAGGGAAGTTCCCCTAAAGCATTTTCACTCTTTCAGTGCTGATTCAGGGACTATTAAACCCTTCATATTCCCTGCTCCATAGGTCTCCACACAGTTGTTTTTAATTCGCGTTGCTACTATTTGTATTCTCTGGCACTACAACTGTTTCTCCTACAAAGACATAAACAGCAATGATTCCAGCTCCAAAATCCCCCATATGCTCTAGAAAGACATCAGACAACGTGTGGGAGGAAGAGAGGTACAGCGAGGAGGGGAAATGCCTTGCCTGAAGTCATACAGGAGGACAGCAACAACGGGAGGAACGTTACTCTTCATGAAGCAGGTCTAAGTCCAGGAGGTCCTAAATTGCTGGCCAGACAAGTCCATGGCAGCTACCAGAAATCACAGGGAGCAAAAGCATCACAGTGCTGCAATAGAGCTAATACATACAAAGAGGTTATGGGAGGGTTGTTTGTTTTTAACCCTTTTCTTGTAGGAGGGAAGGAGGAAGGGTTAGAGAGTGGGAAAGGTGGTTGTGAGCTCCATCAGAAAACTTTTCTGGTTAGTGTTTTCAGTCTGTTATGAAAAGTGGCCATCATAGGTGATGCAAGGAGTCCACAAGCGATGGAAATTAAGATCCCAGCCTCCCCTGCATTGTAAAACCTGTGGTTTGAATGTGATGCTACGGTCACATCAGATGCTGATGTGGTATTCTGGGGTTTCATTTTTGTATGGCATGGATGCAGCCCTGACCAGTACAAGTATTCCACCAATGGTGAATCTAAGCCACCACTCCACAGACAAAAGTTGACTGATTTTCTTCCCCTAGTTTTTGCCCCCAGAAGCCCCTGCATGTCAGGAGCATGATGCTATATGCATTGAGACTTTTTTCCCCATTTATACTTCATTTCTAAGGAAAACAACCCTTTTTGGAAAATACAAGATTTTGCCATTTACCTATGGTTATGTCATCCCTAAATGAGACTACTTTGGCCATATATGTAGCAGAGCCAGTCAACAGGAAATGAGTTACTAAGTCTCATTATTAAAAGTCATATTGAAGTTCAGTTGGTCAAAAGTACCTCAACAGTCAATGGAAAGGAGCAGACAGTTCAAACACGCTGTACAGCAGGGAGGGGATCACCCTCTCAAGGTAATAATCCTTTCCATTTACTGAAGATAGAGCCTAGACAAGTACCTTAGCTTATTTAAAATATCTTAAATGGAAGGAGATGAATGTCATCCTTAAACAGATAGCTCATCCCACAGGGAATTGCACCTTTGCTCCATAAAACTCACCATCCTCCCTTTCAACACGCTGCCCAACTTGTCTTCTGTTCATCAGCTCAGCATAAGGACTTTTATCATTTGAACACAGCCAAACCACTCAAACACACCACTCTTCACATTTATACAGAGGGTTGAAGACATGGAGATGAGAAAGGGAAGTCTTCCATTCACCTTCTCCAAGGGCAGGGGCCAGAGTTCCCCAGTAGATTCATCAGTGGGTGAGATCTTTAGACATACACTCTATTGCAAGCATTAGGTCGAGTTTATGCTCTCAAGTAGATCTCTTTGCTGCTTTGCTTCAGTTTTACGTACTGTTTATGCAGTACATAAATAAAGAGGAATTACCTAAAACTTCTGAAAATACAGTGAAGAGGGAAGCTATTTTAACATTAGTTGCATGGCAGATGCAGCATACAGCAGCCAAGTAGCAAAGGAAGAGCTGTACATACAAATTTTATGAGAGTTAAGGCAGTACACACTCCCTTGAAGTACTTCACGAAGATTCAGGAACAAAAATTACATGAACTCAATTTACTGCAGTTTTCAAGAACCATTTGTAAGGTGCAAGTTCTCTGGAGAAACAAAGAGAGCAAGAGCAGCTCTTGGTGGCAATACCAACCTATGGTATGGTCATGCACATAAACATAGTTTCCCTGCTCTTTGCATGCAGTGCACCTTGCTGCATTGCCTAATAAGAAACACATGAATACTGCAGTAAGCAAGATGTAAACCAACATGAGTATTAACAGCTCATTTTAAGCACTCGTCAGTGCTGTCTATGAGCATAACCCCTGGTGATCCAAAAATGGTCTATTTTAATTCCATCTTTAGTCAAAGCCAAGGATGACCATCTGTGCTCTGCATATTGCTGCTTTAGGTTCTTAAGGACCAGCCTTACTGTTCACTTAAATCCTGGTATTTCCCATCATGGTATTTCCCATCATCAGCAAGACAGATGTAGTAGAAGAGTTGAGCATGTGGCAATCCCTTGATTTGACCCCATGATACATTAGGAAACCAAATAGTAAGGTGGATCCTTGGTACCAAGAGGAGTTTTTGCATATTACATTTTGAAACTAGTACAAGAAACGGAAGATTTACCAAACATATTTAAGTGACTCCAAAGTATTTATCAACCACTACGAAAGTCAAGCAGCTCAGTTAACAAAACTGAATAAAAGCAGCCACTCTGCACATTGCTTTACTTCAAGGAAAAGCCTTTGCTCTTCTTTCTCCCAGCTCATATGAAACTTCTTTCCATTTCCTTGTACCCACCTTGCCAGTTGCCCCTCCCACACCTCTAATATAAGAAATCTCTGCAATTCACTATCCCAGTCCATGATCCTAGCGGTGGTGCGTCAGACCTTCCAGAAAGTGATCTTTCTCTTAGAGTTAACACAGATACAGCTACGCCTGTCTCCAGTCAACAACATCCAGCCTTCAAGTAGCCTTGGGAAGGGAATAAAATTTGACACACTGTTGGCTCTGTTGACAAAAATTTATCACATTCCCCCATTTTTAATAAAAACCTACCCAACGGTAGCACTTGCTCATACCTCTGTCAGGCTTTTTAGATGAACAAAAATTACTTGCAATAAAAGAGAGGTAAAATTTGCATTCCAACTGCTCATCTTCAATTATATAGAAAAACATTCAGGATCCTTTTCCAAAGTAAAAAGTTACAGTATTGAAAAAAACTCTGTTGATGTCGTAGTTTCTACTGCTGCCACACTTGGTCTTAATTTGCAACCCTGAAAGAAGGGAAAGATTGGAAGTTCATAAACATTGTTAGTTCTTTAAAAGGATTCACTAGGCAGTGTGTTTAACACAAAAAGCTGGAGGGCAAGTTACATGGCAGCAGCTGATTGAGTTAACTTTCCCTAATTCCTTCTGCCATGGAAAAGGAATCTGGCACAGAGGTGCAGGGAATTTTCCACAACAGACAGAAAATCACTGTCTAATCAGGAATGTTAAAGGCTTTCCTACCTCCCCAGCTCTGTCTGCTCCTGAGGATCCCCAAGCCTAGACTCTTGCAACCGGCGCATGGAACACACTGGAGGAGAAGCTGGGATTTGTTCGTAAACAATTTATTTGATTTCAAATATGTGCCCTTGTTGTTTCATCACTGATGTCTGGAGAATCATGTCTTCCACCAACCACACACAGAACCGATTTGGAACTCTTCCACCTGACTTATTTGCTGATGATACCTTGACACCGCCTCCCTCCTCCTCCTCCTCGGGAGCTCAAAGTATAGCTCAGCGTGAGCATAAACTTGCACCTTATTCTTAAACAGCTAGAAATATAGTCAGCAAAGAATTAGTGAATCAGCCACTTGGGGAGGCAGAGGGCTATGAATACACAGACAAACATAGAACATCTTATTGGGATTTTTACCAATTCTCTTTTCTGCAAGGAAGATGAAAAACCACTTGGATTTCAGTGTCCTACTGTTCCCTCCTCCTCAGCCACCAACAGAAATAAACAATTCCAAAAATACTTGATGTTCCTAATGTTTTGGGTTGTTTGTTTTTTTTTTTACAAACATTTAAAATCCTGTCCCTCTCCTTCCAAAAAAGCAGGTGATATGTGGTATGGAGTGAACAAGACAGGACAAAGCATGAGTTTCACATGGATAAACTGCTGATTATCTCTTCTTACTATTTGGTATGGGTGTGTGCTTTGCATTTCCATTGAGATCAACTGTAAGACATGAAGCAGGTTACTTTGGATGCTGATGCCAATATGAGCATTAAGGAAAAACTAACAGTGCCAGGGTCCTGGTACAGGTGGTCATGGGCTCATGGAAGTTTCTTGGTTTAATTATTTACACGGATGTTTTCAAATTATGGTCTGTGAAATATATTTTCCAAAGATGTTCTTATATTTGAGAAAAACAACAACAACAACAAAAAAAAAGGAACCCTTGATCCAAATCCCATCTCTTTTTATAAGTCTTGTTAAAAATTTTGATTCCTCAATTTCTCTCAGCACACTCAAAAGCAGAATAGAGAGTAATGACATTTGTGTAAAAAACCAAGAGAAAGATGCTGATCTCTAAGGAGACCGTCGCTCTTTCTTCAGGATTAAATGACACTGAATAGTGTGGATTCGATTCTTTGCTGGGGCAAACTCCGGCTGAAGTTTTAGTGTTGATTCATACCATTTCATTGCCTTTTCAAACTCTTCCTGTAAAGAAAGAAAGGAGATTGCAAGGAGTCAGATTCTAAAAACACCAAACACACTTTCTTCTCCTTTCCTGTCATCAGTAGTTGAGTATGGTATGCACAAAAGCAACTGAACCTGTGGTTCTTCCCTTGCCCCCAAATAACTGTTATTTTCTTGGGTTAATGGCCCAATTCTCTGGAATCCATGGAAGGGAGTCAAATCACTGCTGAGCATTCAATGTTCTCACCATTTCCTTTTAAAGTGTAAAAGTCACTCTTTAAACAGGTTTCAGTCAGAACTTACACAGATCAAGGGTTTAAATTAATGGACAATGCAAAACCATCGACTTTGCTTAAAAGCCTTAAAAACCTTAAAAAGCATATAATAGCTAGACAATTTCAATTGAGAAACTGGACTCCAGAATGGTAGTAAGGAGCATCATGCTATAATAACATCTATTTTTATATAGTTGAAATCTATCTCATCCTGCTTTTTTATTAATTAGGAAAGCACACTAACATGCAACAGTATATGAAAAGGAAAAACAAGAGAGGAAAAGACCCAATGCATTTTTGGGTTTTTCAGTCACTTTCAGCACTGGTTTTGTTCTCTTAAGTTCCTTATCTCAGTGAATTTATTCGTACAGTAGAGATAATATTAATTTCTAGCAACATTATAAACGCTGACTAAATCACTCAGGGTTGTAAAGTCTTGCTCTTTCAAAAAGTGTATTTTAATACAGTTTCAATATAGAATTACATAGAAATCCCATATTAGTTTGTGGGAGCACTGACAGACAGCAATGAATACAACAATAAGATCTTTCCATTTTTAGATGTAATCATTTACATTTGCTGTGATCTGATACTACTATGATGTTCCTATAGGTTCTGACATCAATAGTTTCAATAGCATCCATCCCAAGTTCTCAGTCCTTAACACAGCCAACTGTTTCCCCTTTGTAAGACAGTTCACTGAGAAGTTTTGCAGATAAAGGAATGTTGGGCTCTACAATGCCATACTATTAATTAACATGACATCTACAATCTGTTGGTCAGTCAGCTCTCAAATGCAGCAGGTTAAAAATGATGTAAATAAACTAACTTGTCTTTATGTTAGTAGAATTTAATCCAGAAGATAAATTTTGTCTTGTTGCTACAGTCATTTCTTATAATGAATATGGGGCTTCATTGAGAAAACTCTTAGACCCAGGGAAAAAGAAGTTATCCTTAGGCACTGTGCTAACTTGAAAAGGATATTGGCAAGTCAAGCATCAAACTTCTACTTAACTTTTTTCAAGCAATTGTCAGAACACCTTAATAGAAAAAGTCATGCCTTGCTTCAGTTTGCTTCCACTGTGTGTTTGACAGCACTGTGCATTTCAACTCAGCCCTGATAGCCATAATACATGATTACCTGCCCAACTTGCCCTGTTATCTCTGTGATCCCCTCAACCGCGGGAGTAAAACATTAAAGACAAATCTGTGACAAGTGATGAAAACTGGCAGGGATACTTAGTAACATGTAATTGAAAACACTTTTGACACAGACATATATATCAACTATGTCTCAGTTTAACCGTGCCTCTTTTACCCTTCAAATATACTGGCCCTGTTAATGATGAGGATGAAAAACACAAGAACCAACTCAGCATCCATAAAAGGAACAAACATTTTGTGTTCAGAGTAAGCACTGAAAACTAAATTGCAGATTAGAATATATAGACAGTATGAAGAAATATGAGTTTAATTTGTACATCATTTTGGGCATTGATAATCCAGATGTTGAAATTAAACTTGCCTTGTGTTTGGTCACCGTAACAGTGAACCGGGTTTTTATTGTGCTAAGCAAAGCTCTTCAGGATAGAGACCCAATTTATCATTAATTTTCAGTATTATAAAAATACCCTGTGTTTATACAGGCAGCCAACCCAAATTACCAACTGTTTACTATGGTCTTAAAGCTTTGCAGACAGCATTCTGAAGCCAGCTTATAGAAATGTTTGCCTTCAAGTGTTAAATGATTAATAAGAGTAAAATGAGTAATAAGAGTTCTGTCATTCAAAAAATATTTTTCCTTGTTGATCCTACCCCAATTTCTTGAATGCTGCTCCTTCAAAATTATTTATGAGAATAAGATTAGTATCTTTCATATCTATATACTGTACCAAAGACAGATGTAAGTGGGTGACAGCACACTCACCATTGCTACGTAAACATTTGCCAGCGTGAAATGATTAACCACAAAGTGTGGTGCTATTTCCACTGCCATGGTAGCCACAATGATGGCATCATTCCAGAGTTTTGCGTTGTGGAAGATGTTTGCTAGGCTGATGAGTGGTACATCCTGGAAGAGAAGAGCAAGTGATAAGCAGTGAGGTTCTTTGCACTGAAACTGTCTCAGGATCAGCAAGACAAGCGGAAGACTCCACCACTTGGCCACTCTCACTTGGTTACTACCCACTTCACTATCTGGTGACTTTGAAAGTGATGAGCCAGGTTTATTCTACTATGAAAGGGCATTTGGACTTGGGTTATGAAGAAGAAAACCTCACCTACACACATCTGCTCACAATAGTGACAAACGCTACTGTGACACAGGTAACTCACAAAACTAACTCACTTAAATGTCCTAGGATGTGCATTATTTCAGATGATCTTACACTAGTTTTCTCCCCAAAGATAAGATGCATCCTCAAGAGACAAGAGAAGCTGTTTAGCTTGACCACATTTCTTCAGCTCTTGCATAAAAAGGGAAGGAATATGAACAAAAGGGGACAGCAGGGAAGTGAAAAGAGGGTTTGCAGCTGACACAGGTTTTTTTATCCTGCCTCTGCCACAGAATTCCTATATGATGCTGGGTACGAGTTAGAAATACATTTTCCCAGCTAGTCACTGATGGTATGGTTTTTATTTCCTGGATTTCCAGACTGTGACCTTGTCTGACTGACAAAACTATTGAGCCCTGGCAGCCATAACAGATCCTCTGAGAGCTGGGCTTCAAAGGACAAAATACTGTGGAAGAGCAAGTCTTAGGTGCCCTCAACAGGACAATAAACAATTCTGGATGTATTTGATCCCTGCCTCCTTGACCTCCACAAGGCAAGGAGTACCTTTGGTGGATAAGTCATTCATGTTTGCAAAGCAGATCTTATGGAAGTCACAATCCCAAAAGAAGCCCACAGGAAAATTAATTACCTTTTATTTACATGAGAAAAGGCAAGAGAGAGTAGCCAGAGTGCATAAAATCACAGAGGAGGATGAAACAAAGTTGTAAATAGCTGTTAATTCAGTGCTAACTCTCACTGAGTTCAAGCTGCAGCTGGATCTTTACAAACAAGATCCAAGGTTTTCTCTGGAGGCAGCTTCAGTATGGAGGGCACAACCAAGGCACAAATTTGGAGTCAGCCAGTCCCAAGGAACATTATATCACATTTCTAGAAAACAATATTACTAAACCATGATCTTGCCATCATGTAGTTTCCAATCCATGCACTGACCCTTACAAGTCACACAGCAAAGGGCTCCATTTCTGAGGAACCATTCCCAGTTCCATAGAAAGTCTGGAAAATAAGCAATAGCTTCTTGTGTTAGATCTTGGTTCCAACTTTGTTCTAAAAGGACAAGTGCCAAGAGACAGAATTATAGGAGACATAGGACATGCAGTGGGAATGTGAACTTCTTAGTTGAGGCATTTCTACTGTTAATGGCTAAATCCTCCTAATGATATGCTGAGAGTGTAAATTACTTTGTCTCCTGATTTTCAGAGAAGGATTTAAGAACAAGATTCAAAAAAGGAGTACACAGTTCACAGTGCTGCCCCACTTTGCTGGTCAGGTCCCAAAGTGAAATCTGCAATGTTGAGTGAGAAGCCAATATTGCATTTATGAGTTTGAAAGGGGGATCCTGGCACAGAAGAAAAGATGTTGTAATGTTCAGCATACCATGTGGCAAGGTGAAGGGTGCAAAGCACTTTAGTCAACTGAAACATTAACCAGAAGATTATGTCCAAAGTACTGCTTTTTGTGGAGGAAAGCACAAAGTCAGGCACTAGTGTCCAGCTGAGATTCACAGCTGAAATACTTAAGATTTAAGCATTTAAGTTATTCCTTTAGATATCACCTCCTCCCTCTTTGAAAGCATAACCAGAAAATATATTCCCCACATCTTAGAAGACTTGTCCAGTCAAAGGCTGATGAAGATTCCAAGTCCTACATAACAAGGGGAAGTTCAAGCCTGCATTGCCCAGAATGGTGTCAAACCCACTGACAAGCAGGAAATTCCACAGAACTTCTCTTGCAGTTGTCCTTTTCCTTCTCATTATTTTTCAGAAGAGACAGTCCACACTGAATATGTGGTGAAAGTCGTTAAGTCTTCACCACAACCAGCTCATATTTAATACATTACAGAAACTGATACACACAATATTGGTCTTAACAGTAGTTTGTGAAAGCCTTATAGTGACAAGCAAAACATAGTTTCATCTGAGTAGTGGGCACATGCATACACACCTTCATGTGATGGGGTGCATAGTGCAGTGCTTGCCGTAAGCAATCAATTGCCTTCTTTCCTTGGCCTTTCACTCTCCAGTAAAGAGCTGCCATGCTAGAGAGGACCCAAGAAGTCTGATTCTGGCAAAAGAAGAACACAAAAACCAGTTGTGTAAACACCTGTAGTGAAGTCTTCCTGTCTTTGACTCTTCCAATTTATTTGATCTATTGAGGTAGAGGGTGTTAGACTTAAAAACAGCATTAAACTATTTCAAAGCAGCAAAGAGTTTCTTATCTAACAGCATATATGCAATAGCCAGGTAAATGAGATTGCCAAATGATTGAGATTCAAAGTGTAACATCATTTTCTTAAGAAAGGAATAGCAGCTAAATAGCTTTAAACAGCAACAAAAGTTTCAGCAGCCACAACAGCTTCTAACCAGCTGTCTGATACTAAGCATCTAGATGTGTATACACATTACCCAACATAAAGCAACAAATTCAGCTAAGTTAGCTGATTGGGCTCTCTTTTCCCCTTTCTCTCTGGGAAAAGGAAGGATGCTCTGGGATGCAGCTCAGAGCAGAAGCCTGACAAGATTAGCTGATTAAGTTTGGTGCCTCAAGCTGGCTGACTCCCGTGTCACGTGTTAGAAAGGAAAATACTATGTGCTTGAATTCTGTGGACTCAGATACAGTAAATGAATGTTTATGCTCACATATGCAATTAGATAAGTAGCCATCTTGATTTGTTTGATTAGCTCTTGTGAATACTGAATGAGACTGGTAGACACAGGAACTGTATGGCATTTCCAACACAGCTAGCTCTACTGAGAACGCCTTTTCTGCTCTCAGCACTACATTTTCAGCTTATTTGGATAAAGCTTGCTGTCTGCAGGGGGAACTGTAGCACGTAAGAGAAACGGTTAGTATACATCTGAAGTACAAAGAAACTAAGTCCTGTAACATGAGCATAATATCTTTACTTTTTGAGAATGATAAATACATGCTTTAGTTTCAAAGCATAGTAAGATCCTCGGATGGCTTTTAGTAGAACAGGCTAAGGGCGCCAAATGGTTTTGGCTGAGCGCTCTTTTCTATAGTAGCTTGGCATATCCTCCCCACTACCTGTAAACATATAACAACAATCCCCATACCCTTATCTACCTTGTAGATCCTGAGAAAATTGTGTCTCTGATCATCTCCTCCCAAGGCCCTCAGCTGAGGTCCTTAACAGCCTTAACCTAACTTGGAAGCTGGGCTTTCTCTGGAGAGCACAGGCAGTGTAGTCTTGCACATGGTGTCATACCTCTACCTGAACACATCTGACACTTCAGCCCAACACTGCATAAGGTAAAAGGAAGTAAAAAGTAAAAGCTGTCTGACCACTGCATGCCAGGAGCGTGACGGGATAGCTGAAACTTTGCACAAGCTCCAAGTCAATGCAGCATAGAAAGAAAGAAAGAGGATGGCTGAGAACCATTGCAATAGTTTAATATATATTCACATACTGCTCACTACAGGGCTGGAAACCCCAGGAAATTTAACAAGCTTAACTTTTACTAGAGAGCTATGCAAAACACTTGACAGTTTAAGCACAGGATATAGCTCAACAAAATACCTGTGAGAGCATTACAGCTTCTGAATAGACACAAATCCCTAGTCCAAGTACTAATACATTGCTTGACTGGGATTTCAGACAAATGGTTCAGGACTGGATTGACCACTACGTCAGTCATGAGCAGCAAGCCCAGATTTCTCATTTTTCTCATTCACACATACCTTTTCCAAAGCTTTGGCTATTCGAGTACCAACTTGTTCTAATGACTGCGGGGAGTACTGGTCTTTGCCAAGATTCTGTAGCACCTGTGGAAGAGGAAGAACAAGTGCTCAGATGCTGGAACGTGGTAAGAGATGTCCCTCACTTGTTGGTTGCTTATTTCCCCAGCCTTTTACAAATACTGTAACCTGTCCCAACTTAAACATCCCTGTGTATCTTGAGTTAATCTTATCTGTATTATCACACTGTATTATAACTCCATGGCACTGAATACTAAGAATACTGGAAGTTTTATGTATGCTCAGTTGGACTTTTCTTCCACTAGTTCATCCATCAAGACTTATAAAGACACAAACAGTGTTTCAGGATTTCCCTGAGGCCAGATCATAGATGACTGGGAAAATACAGCTTTCAGCCTGCACTGGTTTTGGTTTTATCCAGGCATTCACACACTGAAGGTCACTTTTGGAGACAGGGCACTGAGCTAAATGCACCTTGAATCTGCCATGGTATGGCCATTTTTGTGTGACAGCCTTCAACTCTGACATACCTCTTTCAGTTGACTTTCTCCAGTGTAATGCAAACTGGCCCGACTAGAGACACCTTGTAAGTGGTCCAAAGTGTGCATGCTGGCTGGTAGATTTGGGTTACAGAGGGGTTCCATGGCTGGTTCTTGCAGCTGTGTGGCAAAATCAATGTGCTCTGTAATGCTACAAAGGTCATAAAACAAGCTGAATCAGTCAGAAGAAGAAAACAGAAGAGTCATTACAAAGTTCTCTAGTGAGTGTAAATTGCCCAGAACCTGGCAGAGTATCATTTGAGTAGCTCCAGAAGTAAGAGAAACTGGATTTTTTGTCTGTACTTCCACTTTCCTTTGCAAGTCTATTGATGAAATACCACGTTTCCAAACTTCTTCGAAATCCTGGCAGTTCTTTCTTACTTTAAAGAATACTAAAGTCTTCAGTTTATGCACACTGATGGCCATATAAGTGTCTTGCTTTGTGGGAGTAGCTTATTGAAGGTTCATATACAAGATACTTACTCAATGTTTTTAGCAGAAACAGCAAGCCATGTGCTGGCTACAGTTGTAAGCTCTACCCTACGGAGTTTCAGGCATTCATCAGGACTTGGCCAGCCAAGGCTACGATAGTCACGTCTTTTTCCTTAAGAAAGGAAAAAAATATATAGAGAAGAAACTGTCTGGAAGCAGAAGGACATTCTACTTCACTACAGTGATTTACAAAATACAGCAGTGGATACATTCCCTATGGTATAAAAGTCATGGTCCTGCAGTCAGATTTCTTTAGGAACATTCCTGAACCTAAATGGACTGACTGGAACTGGTGGGATCCAAAGACAGGACTGGATCCTACACAAGACAGATTAGGAGGTGGAGGTTTAAATATCATTTCATTACACTTTTTCAACAGCTACAGATTAAGAACATTTGCCACTCTTGTTTACAGGCAATGTCTTTACTTAAATGTCCTTAAAGAAGGTTCATAACTGAGTCATCATTTATGTTCTACAGCTATGGTAAAAACTAATAAAAGCTGATTGCTCCATCTTCTGACAACCCCAGGTGAAAAATACTGCCATTTCTTTTCAATGAATATTAAGACAGACAGTGGCTTTTTCTGCATTATTACACTCAAGATAGCAACACTTCTGAAACTATTAGGCAACTACACTTCAGTCCTCCCGTTCTGTAGAGAAGTTAACCAAGGCAGGGAAAGGTTAAATAACTTGCTTTACATTAACAAATAGATCACTGGGAGAGACAAGAACCTAATCTTTACATTTGAACAAAATCCTACTGCAATCTTTCCCTTACATTTGGTGGATACTGTACCAAGTCCTAGGAATCCAGCTTGTGTTAACTGTTAGGAAACATTTTCCTCTCATTTGAGAAACATCCAACTGTTTGAAATGTAAGGGAAACTCATTGTAGACGTAAATTTGCACAGTGGGAAGCCAAGTTTAACAACGTGCCAGTCTATTGCACCAGCTATGTAGACAGTATTTCAATAGTTATTTCTAGTTACCTGAAATTTTGCCCATTTGGATGCAAATCCTATTTCCCATCCAAGGCGTAGTAAAGTGCTTCACCATAATTTTGTAAAGTAATGAGTAAGTCTGTAAGACCATGTCTTTCATAAAGTATTCTGATTAAAGGAAAATTAGCTTTGAGAAACACTGGGAACTTCAGAGGGGAATGATCAGTTCTTATCACCACCACTGTGATCTATCTGCTTGTGAGTTCTGATCTGCACAAACAGCAAAAGATAGTAAGAGGTATGGAAATGCTACACAGAGACAGTTCAGTAGTCAAACACAGGACAGCTACCATCATTTCCCTGTTCTGTGAGGAACAACCCAGGTGCCCTCCAATGTAATTCAAAAAGGATGCCAGCAGAGTCTGCCTCACAGGAGTGTTAGGAAGATAACTGCTTTACAACTGAGGGATGCTATGTAATTAAGCCACAAAAGTAGCTCAGAGGGAGAGAAGATACACTGAGGAAAGGACAAGTGTGTGCTCACAAATGATGGTTCGTTTTCATGTAATTCCTCTCCCCTGTTTATATATTTCATTCCATAACTTACATTTGACAGTTGCTAAAAAAGGAGCTTGTTAAAGATTTAACGTAAAAGCCTTCAAAATGTGAAATCACTTTCCAGGTCATCAAATCGTCAAGGACTAAAACGTACTGGAGAACACACCTTTGCTTACTTCTCAGCCTTATGACATTAAGATTTTAGCTCCACTGAAATTAACGTAAGACAAAATGTACAAGGGCCAATTACTTTGGTTCTCCTCTTTGGCCTCATTAGGTTCCAGCAACATTAAATTTCATCCCATGCAATCATGTGCTGATGATTTCTGTCCACCTGAATGCAGCAGTGGAACCAGCTTGCACCTGATAAATAGACTACTCTCCAATTCCTCTTACTCAACTAGCAGAAGCTCCACCTCTCTTTCCAAACCTCCTCATCTATGTTGCTGCAAAACTCTACTCTTCTGGAGCTTGAGCCTTTTGGAAGACAGGCTCTAAGTTTTCTCTTCTATCATCACCAAACCAATTACAACAGAACACTTAATTTTTAAGATGTATTTTGTTTTTATTAGATCAAGCTTTCTGTGTTTTGTTTTTGAGTTGTGTCTTATGTTTAGTCAGTAATCAATTCAAGCTCTCATCCTGCATTTGTCCCTCAAGAGGCGTGTCTCATCTAACAAACTAACTTCTCTGCCTGCTCACCCCCTCTCTGCTTTACTACTTCTATAGCTACCTCTTTCATTTTCCACTCCTATCACCTCATCCCCTGAAGATCTGGGAATTAACTAGAAAGTTTTCATTCAGGAGACAAAGTTATGCTGCACTTCATGCTACAGGTGTAGATGGAAGAGAATTCATCCAGAAGGCGTATTTCACTACATAGTCTTTGTGACACATACTTATGGTAATAAACCAGTGTAATATAAAAGCTGCAGAGGAAATAAACCATACTAATACAAAAGCTGCAAATGAGTTGCTTTATCTAGAATCAGCAGGTTACCTATTGGTCCAGGAGAAGGTATCTTTGGTCCACTGATCTCCAGGGCAGCTTGGTAGAAGTTTTCATTGTCTCCATTAGTCCCTTCTTCCCCATGTCTCCCAACTGGCTCCTGGAGATCCAAGCTTTCAGCTTTTGGTTTCTTTAAGCGTTTGACCTGAAAAGTGATCTGCCAAGAGAACAGTATTAGCAAGGTTAACAGTATGAAACACCATGAACATTGTCAGCTCCAGTACACTACTTGTTTTAGCCCAAAGATTCAATTTCAAAGATGTTAAAGATGAGATCTTTCTCTCTCTCCATCCCACTTTCACTGCATCGTACTATGCAAAAAAAGTACACAACTCCAAATCTCCAACACAGGAGAAAACCGATCTACCTGTTCAGAACTGAAAGGCATTTTTCATTATGTATTTTGTTTGCAATGTGATCGTAACAGGAATTTCATTTTCTCATGCTAGCTAGAACTTTTGCTTAGAAACTTTCCTCCTTTGCAACTGTGAGCAAGAAGTTTGAGGGCACCCAGCATCATTTAACACCTAAGCTCTTGCTTCTGATGAAACCAAGACTTTTAATGTCAGGTTTAGTGATGCAGAGGCCCTTCCTTTAGAAGATGGACTGAAACTACTCATTCATTTCACAGAGGCCATGAACCAGCTCTTTTAGGCCCATAGGGTAGTTCCTATATATATTCCAGTGTTAAACCCTCTGACCTGTCCTCATCTTTCTCTCCTCCACAATAGTAAGTTGATACAAGACTTAAGTAAACTCATTCAAACTTACCCATTCAGCTTCATCATCATCATCACCACAGTCTCCAAAACAGGAGCTAGCCAGTCCGTCCTGAGATCCCTTCTTTAGGACCCGGATTCCCTGCAAGTCCATTCGACGACCTTTCACCTCCAGTGCCCCTTCAAAAGCTTCCTGAGGCCAAGAATTTTCAAACTCATCCACCAAAGCCAGCATCTCTTCAGACATCTGATCATCTTCTAAACCCTCCATCCCTTCTGAACCATTGCTTTCTGCAGTGACTGTGTCTAAGAGGAAATACCATAAAAACTTCAAACATTCTCTCCTGGTACTTCCAAAAATCAGATAAGAAAAGATCTTTTTTCTGTGAGCTGACTCTTCCACTTGCACGAACCAAGTATCACTGACTGCTCACCGCATGCTTCAAATGGAGAGGGGGGCTGGAGAATGCAGATTCCCCTGTTACAAATAAGCATCATCTGTGGCTTCAAAATCAGTGTCTCTAAACCACTTTCATCAGTTTCCTTTCCAAACCAGAATTCTGCCTGCTTGAGGGAGTAAACAGGTAGTGTCTTCTCTATATATATGCATTAAACACTGAGTAAAGCTCTCTCTACCTTAACCATAGACACTGGTTTTATTCCCTTCTGTCCGGCACAGCTGACACAGAATTCACTGACGTACAACCAACCTCTGTTTGTAGACTCTTGCAAAAACCTACATCCTTTAGCTTGGAAAATGTCTAAACCTTATTTTATTTGTTTTATTGAATGCATTTTGATGTTAAGCTTGGAAAAGAACAACAGTGAGCAGAATAAAACTGGTTTTAAGGGTTATTTATCGCTTTACAGCCAGACGAGGGGGAAATGTAGCTTCTTGGAGGAAGGAAGACAGCTCTACTGAAAAATCTGGAACCCAATTCATTTGCCAGCATTGATTTTGTAAGGTTGACTTACTCTCCAGTCTCAAGAAGGAGGGATCCCTTGCTGAACTCTGAGTAAGGACTTCTGGATCTTCTGTACCTCCCTCAGAGTGTCCTTCTGCCACTGCAGTAACTGACTCATAGTGGTCTTCAAAGTATTTCTCTTTGTCGTGACTGCCATCTGGATTCTTCCCGTGACAGTGGCCTGAAAGAGAGAAATTCACTGATAGGCTATGTAAGACTGCTCCTCCTGGATACAAGCACAGAAGCGGTACTGCAGAAGCTACAGTCTTCTAGTGCTCTATGTATGGATTAACAGAATAATTCTAGAAGGTATCACAGACTTCATCCAGTCATTAAAGAGCTGATGTGCCTCTTGGCAAAGCAGATCACCCAAAACAGTTACAGGAATCTATGTTATTAGGTATACACAATGAACTGCTAATGAAAGAAGAGACAGTTATCTTTTGAGGGAAGGTTACACAGTACATAAGAAATGACTGTGTGCTGGTAGCCACTCCAATGAGCATTCCCAAGACATATTTTTAGTGACAATGCACCACATGTGGGGGTTGCCTGCCATATGAACTTCCCTTAGACACCATAATGCTCCCATGCACAAGAAAAAGGGCCAGGGCAGACTCACATGGGATTGCCAGGCTCTGACCTTCTGTGCCAGCAACAGACAGTATGTAGGTAAGACTAGCTCATTAAGTAGACAGACAAAAGCTACAAGTATTAATCTGTGCCAAAACCCAGTTTATTCAGCTGAAAATGTAACATCTATAATTTTGCAGTCAGGTTCCACCAAATGCAAAGATCTAGGAATAACACTGGACAAAGCCAAATGCAGAGCCACTAATGAGCAGATAAAAAACCCCAAAAGTGCAAACTTGCAACACAAGCCTTTGAGCATCCTTCAGTGAGATACTGTTAAGCTTTCAGAGAGTTTCAAGGGTAACCACCTGCAACTTCGTGGCAATATTTTTGATCCAAAATACATTTTAACTAAAGATCCAGGATCTTGTAACAATAATTATGTGCCAGTCTTCCAGGGCATGAGAGGTTCAGAGAGCTGCTGCCCTGGCTGACCCCCAGAGCTGCAGAGGTAAGAGACAGGATTCTCCGTATGTGGAGAGGCTGCCCCAAATCCCACTGTACAGCTACGGGGCTGAGACATGGACCAGGGTACCTGCCTCTTATCACATGGGAAGCCTGTCCCCACAGAGAAAAACATATTCTGTGTATACAGCTGCTGCTATCAAACCTTTCTTCCAATCACTTGTGAGTGAAAATAGCATACATACACAAATGAATTAAGAAGCACACAGTGAATCAAAGAAAGCTTAAATTAAATGCAAGATTCTCAAGTATGTTCCCCATTCTACCCTCATGAATGCAAATTGTATTTCTCCATGCATATGAAAAGCATTATTTTTTTCAACTGGCAGCATAAAATATGAGAATGTGAAGAAATAAGATCAGTGACTCCTTTCTTCTCCACGCAGTGATCCTGTGTTACAAAAGAATACTTTTAAGTCTTACTCTTATCAGGCCAGCAGGATAAGAGAATGGTTATAACTCTCGTGTAAGGATAGCCTGGTCCACACCCCTTCTCAGCAAAGTGAAACCATAGCTTTCATTGAATCACAAAATAGTTTGCATTGGAAAGGACCTTAAAATCATGCAGTTCCAACCCCCTGCCATAGGGGCAGGGACACCTCACCCTAGACCATGTCACCCCAGGCTCTGTCCAACCTGGCCTTGAACACTGCCAGGGATGGAGCATTTACCACTTCTCTGGGCAACTTGTTCCAGTGCCTCAGCACCCTCACAGTAAAGAACTTCCTCCTTATAGCTAACCTGAACTTCCTGCTGTATGCTCTCTACTTTTGCATCTGTGAATGCTCAGGTGGCATCTTTGGAGGAGAAACAGAACAGTATTTTCTGGGAGTGTGATGGTGTCACCAAAAATCAAAAAACCTATAATCATAAACCCTCTGAGGAAACTATTTCTTGCCCTACCTTTTCTGCCGTACAGAAAAGAAGTCAAACGATGTTATATTACAAGTAAATATGTAAACCAGAAGCAGTTAACTTCATACACTCTTCTGAGTTAGAAGTTATGCTCTGCCTTTCCTACTCTATCAGTCATCGACTCTTTCTTTAATCCCCCACTTCCTCCATGCTGTCAATAAAAAATTAATTGGTTTCATTAAAATAAACAAAAAAATCACTTCAATATATGGACATCCTCATGTTTAATTTAGGAGAAATGGTGTGCACAGAACCCTCAAGCTGAAACTAGTCCCCCTGCCCACCACCAGACCAGCCTGATTTTGATGCAAGTCAGGTGCTTCTCAGTAAAGCGATGACCACAACTCCCTTTGCTGAAGGTCAACTCATCATTTGTGTAAAGAACAAAAGCAAAGGGGCTGAAAAAGAGATGACTGCTTTTAATTGAAATAAAACCACCAAAAAGAGAGGAAAAAGCAGAAGGAAAAATAACCCACAAACACGACGACACTTAAAATTCTACTTAAGAGGAACTCTGTTAATATTAATTTAGAAACACTGGCAGCCAAAACCAGACTTGATGAGCACCGGCTTTCTTGGGATCTGAGAGCTGCTATATATAGAAACCTAAGTGGCCTCATTTTTTCAAATTGCTGCTTTCAGTTGTCTGTCGTCACTGGAGAGGAAAAAAAAAGCTGGTTGAAAAACCAGGGGAAGATCTGTGATGAGCATAGCATGAAGCTGGTGGCACTGAAAGACTTGCAAGAACGAACTTCACAGCTTCCATCAGTCAGATGCCTGAAGACCAGCAGGGAAGAGTGCGAGTCCAGCAAGGAAGCAGCACAGGCCCAGACTCCAAGCACATTCACTGGCTGTAGAACAGGAGTTGTATCACTGCAATACGTAGAGCACCGTAGCTGTGTGAAGGACAGAAGCGACTGCCACCCCATGGTCAGCTATGTATTACTAACATTGCACATATATTCTGGTTATCTAAATAAGCACATGTAAATTTGAGGTGTGAAGTCCCCACGCAGTGATATTGCAGCTACAAAACTTGAAGTCCTAAAATTACTTCGTAATACTTGATCAATTCAGCTTACTCCATCCTGAAAACTTATTACAGAAGGAGCACTTTCGTGCTCATTCAATTTTCTGAGAGCAGCTTGATGTTGCCACTTTTCCTATTGATTCTGCAAAACTAAGAAACAGAGAAGTAGATCAGAGTCTACCCTACCCTCTGATTATGAGACCTGATTACTATGTTCCAGGCAGTGAAACAAAGATGCTATAGAGATGACACAAAACAAGCATGTGGGTCTTCATTCAAGTGATGGAATAACGCAAACAACTAGTCTGATTGTGTCAGGTTAATGTAGAAATCGGGAGGGAAAGAAAGAGAATAGAACCATAGAATGGTTTGGGTTGGAAGGGACCTTCAAGCTCATCCAGTTCCAACCCCCTGCCACAGGCAGGGACACCTTCCACTAGAGTAGGTTGCTCCAAGCCCCTGTGTCCAACCTGGCCTTGAACACTGCCAGGGATGGGGCAGCCACAGCTTCTCTGGGCACCCTGTGCCAGTGTCCTAAATTATTAAGCAAATCCACTAGAGGGAAAAGACAAATACAGGCTCTAAACTGAGACCTTGGAGATTAAAAGCAGAACACAGTGTTGTATATTAAAGGTCTCTATTTCTCACATTGTTCTGGTTTGTAATTTTTTGGGGCCAATGTGAATGCACTTGTACAGGACTAGCACAACATGCATTTTAAATACAGAAAAGATCTGCTAGACCATTCATCCCACCTAATATTAACCATCTTTTTGATTTTCAGTACCCTTCTCAAATGTCATCCAAGCTGTGGTTCCTACTGCAGTTGGTAGGGCTAAAAAACCCCAAACAAAAAGTCAGACTTCAATTCTTGTTTAGGAATTGCATGATTCCAAACTCTTAAGTTGAAAGCCACTTCACGTAAGGAAAGAAACACCCAGCGTTGACATCTGTAGCAAGGAAGGAGAAATAGTAGGAAGGAGAAATGATGCAGTAACTGATACTGAAGAAGGGGTAACATTTATTCTGAACCATACTTTATATTGCCACATTTCTCAAAAAAGTCACACCTGGAAGCAATCATGAACTTCCACAATTACATATATTACATATATTTATATACATTTTTCTGGTACTACATGGGGTTTTTTCTTTGTTTGATTAAGAGCAAACTTCTGTCAATTTAGGTGACTCCAGACCCTTACACTGAAAGCTGCTGACCTAAAGCAAGGAAAGAAACATGAAAAGTATGGAAAAGAGGAAAGATGAGCAAACAGCATCCTCAATGTATCACATGGAAGTGCTGTACCTTAATGAAGGTCTTAAAAGTAATCAAACTTCGCCATTAAAGAGGGCATTGATTGTTTTAGAACTCTAAATGAACTGCCACTGCAGCTCTTTGTGTCTTGTGGTACATCTGGCAGAGAGAATGAGGCCTCACTAAATATTGTCACTGTTTGATTCCTATATACCAACTTAAGATGGATGATCTGGTGTCATCAACAGCATTAGAAATCAAAAGTAAAATTATCTCCAAGTGTCTTGGGTCAGCACAAAGTTTTTCCTGACTTTTCCTTCTTTCTTTGTCAGTGCAGAGCTTGTGAAACACAGCATTCCTAACTCTACCATCTATGTTCCAACATAATAGGAGTAAGGAATCACTGGCTCCTAACATCTTATGAAGAGACAAACTAATTTCCTTAAATTTTTTGGAACACACTTAGAAATCATGACAGCAGAATAATGCCTCAAAATTAAAAGTCAAGTCATTTAAAATTTATGTACTGCTATTTTTCATACCACTTGGAATAAGCAGAGCTGGATTTCTCTTGAATGATTACAAAAGTCAAGTGACTATTGCTGCAGTCAGTGACTTGCATTAGGTTACACAAAATGCAAGTTATCTGGAGATGAGTGTCACTTAAATGATGTGCCCCTTTGCATTTAAACAATGCAAAGAGAGAACTCTACTTAATACAGATGGAAGTCAGACTAATACCCAAATTGTCAAAGCACAGAACAGACTGAAACCAACCTGATAACAGGAGTTAACTCCATACTTTTTTGATGCAAGCTCAAAACTGGTATTCCCCACAGTGAAACTGAGTAAAGGCAGTTCTCTTTTTTAATAGCATGAA